CCGAAGCCGCCGGGGCCCGGGACCGAGGCCCGACACACGTCCCCGGCTCCGCGGACAGGCCCGGGCCGCCGTGCCCGACCGAGGGCTCCCGGGCGCCCCCTTACCTGGCGCGAGCGCTTCCCTCCGAGCCCCGACGAGAGAGAGACAGGGAGAGAGGAGAGACTTCCTTTCCCAAGCGCCGGCGAGAACTGGTTTCTCGCTAACGCAATCCGCAGCCTCTTGTTTTGCAGACTGCTCCGCGCCACGGCAACTTGACCGGCCCGGCCGCAGGCCACGCCCCCGCTCCTCGCTGGTTGGCTGTCGGGCTCATTCAAACCACGAGGGGTCCCCGCCCACCCGCGGCGTGAGGCTCCTGATTGGCCGGCGCCCGGCGAGGGGACGGTCCGTCCCTCGGGCCCCTCCTGCCTAGCAGGTTCGGTCGGTCGCCCGGGTCGTTAACTCCCAGACCCGTTGGAACCGGTCTAGGGAGGAATGGGCTGCTCGGCCCTGATTGGCGGCAGGGAAAAAGCGTTTGAAAAATGGCGGGCCCGCCGCTGATTGGCCGAGGCTGTAAACAGGGGCGTGGCTGACGGGGAGGAGGGGAAGGGGGGGAGGAGGGAAGGGAAACGGCCCCGCCAGATTCAAAACTTAGGTCGGGCGGCTTGAGCGCCAACTCCTTCAGGTGTCAAAGATGGCGGCCGGCCTTGCGTCGGCGCTGAGGTGACGAACGACGACGCCGGGGCCTGCCGCCTCGGGCCGCCGCCGCCGCTGCGGGGAATGTCGTCACAGAGCCGGGGCCTCCCGGGAGCCCAACTATGAGTTCACAGAATAAAAAGAACAAAACAAAACGGGGGGTGGGGGAGGGAGACGGTTGGGAGCCGCGGAGCCTGGACGCGGCCGGGGTGGGAGCCGAGCATGGCGGGGCGGGGGAGCCTCGGGGACGGACCCCGGCGGGGTCGCGGCTGGGCACCCGGGCTTCGGGCACGGACCCCGGGGCCGGGTCGGTCCCGCTGTGGTCGCGGCTGGGCACCCGGGCTCCGGACGTGGGATGCTCGCCTTCCCCGCTCGCCTATTGGCCGGCGGGTGACACCGCCGTTTGCACGGGGTTTGAATCTTTCTTTCCTTCTCCTTGCACTTGCTGGGGCTGCCCTGCTGCTTGGTTCGTTGATAAGGATCCTTCTCGATCGTGCTGCGGGACGGGCGGTTCTTGACCGTCTTAGTAAAAAAAAAAAAATGAGGCGTGGGAGCTGCGCTTTCCTCGGAAACGGGTGATGGAGATTGGTCAGCATTGCCAATCAATGTACCTGATGCCCGCGAACCGGTCACGGGCGTGGGGTCGGGTGGGGTGGTTTTTATGTTTTACCGCAATGAAAACAAGGTGCCAGTTCCTGGAGGGTGTGGAGGGGATGTCTTCCTGTTTTTAAGGGTCCCTTTTTGTTTGTTTGTTTGAGACAGGGTTTACCCCCTACATGTCGTGTGCCATAGGGAATTTCTAGAAGAGGCAAAATTCTAAGACAGAAAAAGAATTGGGGTGTGTGTGTGTGTGTGTAATAGAAATCTTCTAAAATTGGGTTTTGATGATGTTTCTTTCCACCACTGTATAAATTCTCTGACACCCATCCAACTAATACTAAAATGGGTGGATTTTATGGTATGTGATTTCCCCCTCCCAGTTAAAATAAAGCACTGAGTGACCTGAAGCATTAGAGAAAAAAAAAAAGACAGGGTTTACCGGTGTAGCAGTGCCTGTCACAGAAGTCACTAAGACCACACTGGCCTCGAACTCAGAGATCTGCCTGCCTCTGCTTCCCAAGCGCTGGGAATTAAAGGTGTGGGCCGCCATGCCTGACTCAGGTCCCGGAATTTTAGTCAGTAGTCAAAATGCTTTACAAAATTGTTGTGTCTACCTGAACTCTTACATCTAATGGCGGTTGCAATTGTTCTATAAGCATTAAAAAAAATAAATTAACCAAACCTGAGTATATTATTCCAATAGCAAAGTGAGGTCACTTTTAGATCTGTTTTTGTTCCCTGGGCGTGGTGGCACACACCTTTAATTCCAGCACTCAGGAGGCAGAGGCAGGCGGATCTCTGTGAGTTCCAGGACAGGCTCCAAAGCTACACAGAGAAACCCTTTCTTGAAAAACAACAAAAATTTTATGTGGCTCTTTAGAGAAGGAGAATCGGTAGAATGAATCTATATAGGACATTTATTAGACTAGCTTACAGGCTGAGGACCGATTAGTCTAATAATGGCTGTCTACCAATGGAAGTTCCAAGTAACAAGAAGTTGTTCGAAGCTGGATGTCTCAGCTGGTCTTCGATATCTGCAGAATCCCGAGGAAGTAGGCTCTAATGCCAGTGAAGGGACTTGCTAGGTAAAGCAAGAGCAAGCAGCCAAAGAGAACAACCTTCATGTCCTTCAGATAAGCTGCTAGCAGAAGGTGTAGCTCAGATTATATATAGGTAGATCCTTACACCTCAGAAGATCCCGGTTAAAAGTGAGTCTTCCCGATTAAAATGATTTAATTAAGAAAAAAAATCCTTCACAGGTGTACCCAGCTACTTGGGGTTAATTAATTCCAGATGTAGTCAAGTTGACAACCAAGATTATCAGCCATCATGTGGTCCAGTGTTTATTTATTTATTTTTTTTCTTGTCGTTTTCGAGACAGGGTTTCTCTGTTTAGTTTTGGAGCCTTTCCTGGATCTCACTCTGTAGCCCAGGCTGGCCTCGAATTCACAGAGATCTGCCTGGCTCTGCCACCTGAGTGCTGGGACTAAAGGCGTGTGCCGCCGCCGCCTCCCAGCCTTAGTATTTCTTTTAAAGGACTACCCAGATTATACTTATATAAAAGTTGGGCAAGTATTCAAGAAATGTTGGTAGATTGTGTCATTCATTGAGTTTAGGAGTGGTCTTTTGTTTTGTTTTGTTTTTTGAGACAGGGTTTTTCGGGGTAGCTTTGCACCTTTCCTGGAACTCACTCTGTAGACCAGGCTGGCCTCGAACTCACAGAGATCCGCCTGGCTCTGCCTCCCCAGTGCTGGAATTAAAGGCGTGCCCCACCACCGCCCTTGCTTAGGAGTGATCGTTGCTCTCAGAAAAGTTTAGTGTAGAGAGACAAAAATAAACTACATAATGATAAAATTTGCTCGAGAGCATAACCACAGTGAAGATGTAAGGAAAGCATTATTGGAGTCGTTGTGTAGAAAGGATTTATTAAGCAGAGGAAGGGAGGGGCTAAGGAAGAAAGAACTTGGGGAGAGCAATTACAAATCCAGAAGCACAGGCTCGTAAGGCAGAACAGGATGAAGCCAGACTGGCGGCTTACACGGAAATTTAGTCTTCATCCTTTAGCAAAGGAATCACTAGAAAATAGGAGGGAGGTGCAAGCACATTTTTTTCCATGTTAGTCGGCCGTGTCTATGGCATGGTATAAATGAGGTCATAGAATTTAGAAATTGATTCACTATGTTCATCCTTTTCTGTGACTCCAAAGGACAATGGTAAAAGATGTGAGCCACTTATTTACGTATACAATTTCTAATTAACCAGTCTTTTGATGTTCACTTGTGTTTAGGTCACTGATTTGGAGGCTGAACTGCAAATAAAAAATTGTTACATCATAAAAATGTTTCAGTTGGGCGGTGGTGGCACAAGCCTTTAATCCCAGCACTCAGGAGGCAGAGCCAGGTGAATCACTGAGTTCAAGGCCAGCCTGGTCTACAGAGTGAGATCCAGGACAGGCACCAAAACTACACTGAGAAACCCTGTTTTGAAAAATAAAACAAACAAAAAAATGTTTACAGTTGTGGTGGCACAAGTCTTTAATCCCAGCACTCAGGAGACAGAGGCAGGCAGAGCTCTAAATTTGAGCTTAACTTGGTCTACAAATCGACTTCCAGGACAGCCAGGGCTATGTATAGAGACCCTGTCTCAAAAAACAAAAACAGGCCGGGCGGTGGTGGCGCACGCCTTTAATCCCAGCACTCGGGAGGCAGAGCCAGGCGGATCTCTGTGAGTTCGAGGCCAGCCTGGGCTACCAAGTGAGCTCCAGGAAAGGCGCAAAGCTACGCAGAGAAACCCTGTCTCGAAAAACCAAAAAAAAAAAAGAAAGAAAGAAAAAAAAAAAACAAAATAAAAATGTTGACAAACAGAAGCTCCAAGATTCATTAGCCAACAACCCTGCTTAAGGAAAATTATCCTAGGACCCCAAGAGAAAGACACACACACACAAGGATAATTATGTACATTTTTATTTTTTAAGCATGGCCTGTGGGTTTTTATAATGTGGGATTAAAATAACAACAGCAAAAGAATGAGAGATAAAGTGTTGCAAATGTCTTTGTTCAGAAAGTGGTGAAAGTAAAAATTTGCATTAAATTATAAGCCAAATTCCTTATGCTTTGAAGTGCTAGTTACATGTACACACACACACACACACACACACACACACACACACACACACACACACGATGTGCATGTACAAAAATATTCCCTTGTACATAGGATATCAAGTCTTAGTTTATGCTAAGAACCAGGTGACTAATGATTACTAAGCATGCAAAAAAATATTTTAACATTATTACTTATTACAGAAATGCAAAGTAAAACCCAGTAGATACCACTCACTTGTTACTAAGATGATTATAATATTAAAAGATAATAGCATTGGAAAGCACATGGAGAAATTAGAGCGCTATTATTTGTGAGACTTCAAAATGGATAGTCACTGGAAAATTCTGGCAGATTCTCAGGCTTAGACACACCTCAGCACCTACCCAAAGTAGATAAAAATCAGTGTCCACAAAAAGACAAGCCAGACAGACAGGCAGATCTCTGAGTTCAAGGCCAGGTTGGACTACATGCACGTTCAAGGCCAGCCAGGACATATAATGAGGCCCCATCTCAAATAAAGATATTTAAGGCAGCAGTGTTTGTAATAGCAATATCTCAAAACAGGAGACAATCCAAATGTCCACTAACTGTACATAAATAAACCAAAATATGACACATCCATGTGCTAGTATGCATTCATCAAATAAAAAGGAATAAACACCGATACTAGCTATTAATATAACAAAGATAAAGCTGAAAAACATCACACTAGGTGAAAGTGATCGGACACAACAACTTTTTGTATGACTTTGTCTACATGACATTTCTAGATAAAAGCGAGTGTGTAGAAGCAGAAGGCAGAAGAGCGGCTGCCCCAGGGCTGAGGTGGTGACAGTGAAGCTTTTTCAGGCAATGGAAGTATTCTGCAACTATGTGGTAAAGGTTGCCTAAGTATAAATTTACTAAAAGTAATTGAACCATACACTTTCAAATGGATGGAATTTACATTATGTAAATTATATATCAACAAAGCCGTTTCTTAGAAAGCCAATGACTTGTTTTCCCTTTTGTAGATCAGG